TTAATTTGTAAAATGTTGAGGCTGACATAAAATCTTTGAAAATTAAAATGTAAACGTAAATTACCTCACTCCGAGCAACTATTTTACATATAGGACTCAGCTTAAGTGCCATGGGGGTACCAAGCTGGTCAATCCTATAACCCTTGATCTCGAGGAAAAATTGATCCACAAATCAATCACATTTATCCGCATAATCAGTGTACACCCTCTCAAAGGTCTCGTTACCACGTAAGTAGTAATTCACACCTACATCATCTTCATCCATGCTTGATACATGGATTGTATACAATGGCATCAGTGGCCCATCATCTATTTCAACCACCACTACATTATGCTCTATCTCAGGCTGTTCTGGTTCAGTCCACAGCGCAGGTGGAATAACTGCCACAAACACAAACCCTCCATGAGGTCTTGGTAAGTTAAGAGGAGGTTGATTATCTATTTCAGGCATTTGAGGATATTGGTTAGTCATTGCGTTAGAATAGACAATTTGTGGTAAATCAAAAGCGGATGCAGTTCTTTTTGGCTTCACAACAACAGAAGATGAAGCTTCAACTATTGTTGGGATAAATTTTTATTCAAAGGAAGAGGAAGATGACATATTTGATGAATAAATGAGCTGGTTTTTTTTTTTTTTTTAAAAAAAATTTCCACCTAATAAATTGTCAGTAGGTGTAGATGCCATTTCACATAAAAAACAAATTTATAGCATGGAACAAAACCCTAAATAATACGCGTGTTCAGATATTGATGTAGTCCTTTTATTTTAATCCGACGTTAAACCCTAATTCGTTTAATGAAAACAATAGATGTTAACACCAACGTACTACCCATTGCATGTATTTTGGTTAAATGTATACCCCCTTTACAATTTATAAGTTAATTATTGCATTATTTATTTAAGAAAATATGCAACATCTTTTTTTTTTTGTTCCAGATCGTATCATCATGAAAAAATAACATTTGAAGTAGAATTGTTCTATCAACACATCCACAAATTTATACGACTATACGGTAATTTAAGGTAATTTTCATCTTTTTTGTATTCGCTAAGCTAATTGTTTGCCCTCCTCTAGTGTCGGCTAGTTTATTATTTAAATTTGAAGTTTGGACCAAATTTGTGAGTGATTTTGTTATTTTGCCTAACTTTTTAAAAAAATTGAGAATTTTTGCAAATATAATATGCTGCCTAATGTCATTTCCCAAATTAATGGATATTTTAAATTATAGCTTTAAAATTTCCTTAATAAAAATTTTAGAATAATAATAGGAAAATGTTATACACAGCCCTTAAGGCTACATATAAGCATTAAATTTACTCTTGAAAATCGTTAAAAGTTAAGAAATCATCAAAATATAAACACTAATAACACTCATTTACGCGTGTTTTTGTCATGAATTCCTAATTTTATACAATTTAGAAGAGTATATTTAACGCTTATATATAGCACTTAGGGCTACATATAACATTACCCAATGATCATATTAATAAAAAACACAAGAATAAGAATGTGGGTTAATCAGAATTAAAAGGAAATGCACAAAATTATTAGTCTTTAATTAATCAACCTAAAAATAAATTAAATGTTAAAATAAACTCGAAACAAAAAAAAAATTAAAAAAAAAATGAAAAGTGAACCTTTCCATTCAAAGGAAAGTAAGGAATAGCTAATTTCTTTCAAGGTCAATTATTTACCTATTTTTGGTATTTATATCTATACTAAGCCATTTTGGGAAATAATTTTATATTAAATTAGCCATTTTGGTAAAACATTCCAATTTTATAGTTTTAATAATTAATTTAATTATATTTTTTCTGCATACTACGGTTTTAATATATTAATGAGATTTGTATTTTTTTTCCTAAATTTCGCTAAATACATACTATGTCCGGAATTACAAACTAAAAAATAATTTGAAAATACAATAAATAAAAAAAAGGGAAACTACATGAAAAAGTTTAAGTGTTGTACACAAAAAATTTAATGGAGATATCATTCGCCACCTAATTGTTGATAGTGAATTGATGACCAATTCATTTATTAAAGTGTAATGATTATTTCGCCAACACTTTTACTATTACAAAATCTTTATTACCAACATGTTTTATAATTTACTTGAGTACTTTGACTACTTGTTAATACTTCGTTTTTTGCGAAAGCCTTTTTAACAAATACTCCAACATTTTCCTCTAAAGTATTTCAAATTTATTATTCATAAAGTGGAGTAGTTCACACACAATGTAATCTTAAAACTTCTTTCAAACTTTTATATGTTAATAGTTAGCTTACTTGTGAGATTTCTGCGTGCATTTACATTGTCAAATATTCTATTCGTTGTCACATATTATCTCAATTGTGTTAGTGTGATTTTTTAATTTTGCGTGACTTTGTAAAAATATTACGAATTCACACAGTTATATAATGTTGAATAATGTTATTTAACAAATTAATGGATATTTTAACTTAATGTTATAATATTTACTTCAATTCAAAACCCTACCCCTTTCCTCCAAAGCAAATCATCTATCCTCTCATAATTCTTTGCTCGGCGACGGCGCAAGACTCAAGGGAAGATCTTGCAACACACCAACATCGCATACACTTTAATGGAGATGATAATGCTAATGATGATTCATTTTGTCATCGTGGAATTTGGTGATACATTAGTCATCACGGTAATTGGTGATGATTCATTTAAGGTGGCCATTTGGAGGGATGGCGAAGAGTGAAGTAACCGATGATGTAATTTTGATCTCGTCTGATTCTAGCAAAAATGGAGATGATAATGCTAATGATGGTGCTAATGATGGCGATGACATTGCCCAAGCTATACAACAACCACATCCAAACCCCTTCTTTCCATTCAAGTTCATCAAAAGCTACATTAAAAAACCTACAATTGTAAGTTGAATTTCAGTACGTGTTAATAATTTAATGGGTACGGTTGCTTGATTATTTTTACACTCGTGTGTTTATATGTTTCCTTATTTTTATTTTTTTAGAACATTCCTCTACCCTTTTCTCAAGCAAATTTCGGTGGCCTTGGAGACCCTTGCACTGTTTATTTGACAATAAGTCAGACATGGGAAGCCACAATGCACATCAAAAGCAATCAACAGGGGAAGATTGTGGCTTGCTACGTTAAGAAAGGAGTCCAAGAACTCATAAAGGGTGAAGGTGTTACGTTGGGTGCAAAGTTTATTGTTGAGCTAACTAGTATGAATCCACCAACTCTTAGTATTATAAATGAGAGGGAGTATTATAAATTCGACTTAAAGAGGGAGATATAAACAAACTTAAATAAAATCACAATACCTTACACCAATTAGTTCAATATTTTATCCTTAAGATAAATCCATAATTAGTTTGGGCCACAAAAAATTATTAAGAAATAGTCATGTCCAATATAATTAATCCTCAATATCAAAATAAATGTTGGAGATATTTATATTGAAATTCAATCATCCTTGCAAGATTACAAATATTACGTTCATTATCTGTGTTATATTTTTTTTTTTTAATTCACATTTTACTCCAAGGTGGCAATGTGCATAGTAGTAATATGTCTGTTTTCTTTGCACAAACTTAATAGTAAGGTCCCCATAGTGAAATTACAGAAAATATAACTACACTATAAGGATCACATGATACTACACAATGAAGACGTCACTTGTTAACATATCTATGTACTCGAGAACAAGCGTACAAGTTAATGAAGTTGGTGAACGTAAAACTCTAAGAGGTAATGAAAGTTAAAGAACCGAGATTGGAACACACAAATGACTAAGAAAAATATTTGAAATTAGTGCCATTTTATAGATTATCCTTGTCATATGACCTTCTAAGATGTGTCAAAATTATAGGAAATTTTGTGTAGAACTACCCTAAAGATAGGGTCATTTGTGAATAATTACCCATTTTTTTTATTTGTTTAGAACTACCCACAAGTTTGAAAATATTTGGGTAGCACTACCCATTAACATTTTCTGTCCAATTAATACGTTATCGGAGCCCACTTTTTTCACCTTTTCCACCCAATTAACTCTCTCAGTTTGTATAAAGGTTTTAATTTACCTTAATTAACCTAATTATGTTTTAATTAGAATTCATTTTAGGGTTCATGAGTTTAGTATTATTTGGGGATTTTGAATTCTAAGGTTTGGGGGTTTAATTGAATTGGGGTTTTTGCTTATTTTAGCATTAATTGGCCATTGTAATTGATAAAAGTGAAAAATATAGCCAAAATAACTTTTTAATAATATAGTGGGTGGTGCTACCCAAACGTTTCCAAACTTGCAGGGAGTTTTAAACAAATAAAAAAAAAATTGGGTAGTTGTTCACAAATGACCCTATCTTTAGGGTAGTTTTACACAAAATTCCCAAAATTATATGTTGGTTGTCTATCATAATATAATTAAAAAAAAGAGACTTAAATCTCATGTTCTAATCTTTAATAAATAATATTGGCAATAAATTAAAATCCAATTCAAGCATCATAGCAAGATTACCTATTTAAGTTAACATTTTTCATATGTTCATAGTACTAATCTTCGTATACACAAGTATAGGGACACTATGAATAGGTAATCACAAGCTACATTGCGTTTATGGACTTTTAATTCATTAATAAATTTTATTATTCAAATTTTAGACAATGGTACACAAAAGGAATAACCATACCTACTTAAGCTTAAGGATTTAGGTTATTAACCATACCTACTTAGTTTAATTTTATATATTAAATTTTTTATTTATTGAAGGAGTCAGCACAAATGGTTTAAAGAAAAATTATACACACAACAGTCTATGCATCTCAGTTACCGTTAGTCACAAGTGAAGCATGTTTGAGTTAAATCATTTAAAAACAATCAAGTAGTTCATCTTTAAATATTAATATATTTTCCAAAGCACAATCTTTTTTCACTAATGTGGAAAATTTGATTATGCCAATACATTATTATTAACTAACACAGCACAACCCAGTCAATAAAGGGAAACAATAGTTTGAAATCAGTTCAAAAATAAGAGTCATCAAAATTACCGGACCCAACATCATTGGGCTACAAACTTTTAATAGAAAAATATTAATTAGGCTTTAGTTTTTATCAAGAACATAAGCCAAATACATCAACAAATCATAGTTAGTAGTGATTACAACAACATAACACATAGATAACAATTGAATCTTACTAGTTACTACAAATCTACAGGTATCTATATCAATCAAATGTGTGCGTCTATCTCCAGTTGATATGACATGCTAAAACATGAAAACAGTATTTCATTGCATCTCGACCTTCTATAACCATTATTAATCAGCACCTTCTTCGTATGTTGATTCTTCATCTGTTTGGTGGGGGGTGGTATCATCGTACAAGTACTTCCAACCCCAACGTAACCCATGTAAATCCGCCCGTCTATGCCTATCTCTACTACTACTGGGAACATGAGCCGAAACATCCTACACAAAAATGAAATACAAATCGTTAAAGAGTGATGGTGCATTTGTAACCCTTGCAGTATAAATTTACCAAAGAACTATACCCACATCATAAGTTGGACATTGAGGTGGTCCAGATGTGTCCCGTGCTACCTTAGGATGTCTTTCACCATAAGCCACATCTATAACCTACATAGACCATATATATTGTTCGGTCAAGTAAAATAAAAAACGCAACATGTGCTACATTAAAACATGGAAGATAATAAACATACCCCTAGTTTTCCATAGTCACCGGAATAAGTTCGGTCAAGCTTGCATGAATACCCAATTCTCTGCATGCTCCATGCCTTCACTCGAGGATATGTATCCCACGCATTGGGATCCAAGTTTAGTCGATCCAAATAGAAAATCTGAAATTATGTCCTTAAACTATTTTAATCAAAATTAAACAATAATCTTGACTATAGAAAACAATTTTATTTTTATAATAAATTTAACAAAAAGGCATATGAGGTGCTCACAACTGCAAAAATTGAACAACCACTGCTACCACCTGCAAATCCATTAGCATAAAACCGCCGAGCAAAATTTGAGACACTCTCCAGAAATTTATTCAATACCAATTCACACCAATCATAGTTTTTGTTATCCATACAACAACTCAATGCCGGTAGCAAATCAGCTGATAGTCTTGGGGATCGTTTTGGACACAAAATCATATGTAGAGAAATGATTAGGAACAAGGTTTTAAATACTTCTTCTTCATCTGGATCAAAATGTCCCTCCAATCTATCCATCATGATCCCAGTAACAGGAATGCCAACTGAAGTATATGTCCTAGACCCATGTGTATTAGCTTTTGTCTTCCACGCCCTCCATACTTTAACAATATTTTTTGGACCTTCATCCTAACTACACCAGACATTTCCTTGGATGTAGGGACTGGTTTCTCCCCATTAGGAATTCCTAAAATCCAATGCACTTGGTTCTTCGAAAGTAAATCGAACGACCATTTGTGCCTATTAAACACCTATTAATAGGATCAATACGAGTCATAATCTAGTATGCTAACTGTCGTGGTAAGTGCATATGGGAAGCAAAATGTAGGAGCCCCCCAAACCCCATATCACAAACCCATCTTTTTCTCCTTTCATCGAATTTCTGGCATATTCTACCAAATGACTCAACACGACAAGTCATATTTTGGGGGCTGCAGTTCATGTTTGAAACAACGGCAGGTTTCCTTTACCGTAAACTAACTTTAAATCAATCTGTAATATTATCTTAAGTTGTAAAAAATATGAGAATGGAACTCACTCTACGCAATGCAACAGTGTAATGATTAATCACTTACCCTTTTGCTTTCACAAAACCACCCAAACTTAAATTGTCATCCTACAATACATCAAATGCTTAAGCTAATTTAATCAAGATATACAAATTCTAATTAAAACACTAAAATCATATCAATTATTATTACTGTGAATAGTCCGGGATGTAACTCTATGGATTTTTGAACTATTCCAGTACCAATTAGGCGCTGCATTTTCAACAACATTATCAAAATCTCCAATTTCATTAAAAGAATTCACGAACCTCAATTAAACCTTGAACGCAAAAATTCAAATTTGCACGGAATCTGTTTTCATTTAATGAATACGTATTCTGAGTTTGTATTAGCACTTGTAAATTTAGAAAATAATAAGTTTCAATTACCCAGTAAACAACGATTTCAATTGAATTAACAAAGAAATTTACAACCAGTACATATCCATTACATAATCAGCATATACAAGACTTACAGATTCGCTCGAGTTGTTTGCCTTTCCCGCAGCATCGTCAAATACTGTTGGCCGGCACCTTTTTCCAAGGGCGTCTTGTCCTATACCAATCTGAACATTAGAGGAAGATACAGAAATGAAGAAACAAAAATAATTAGAGAACGGATCTGATTTTCAAATACTAACCAATTGTATGAAGGTGTTGAAGAAAAAACAGGAATGAGTGTGTTTGAAAACCCTAACTAGAGAGTTAAACTACAGCATCCTTGAGTTAAAAGACGTTTAGACGGCCAATATGACATGGCAGGTATAGTCATGAACTTGCCTGTGCCACATTCCAAATAAGGAGCATGAATTGACAGATGAGTCCTTACTAATGCAATGTGAAATACCGACAATGGGGCTAGATTAACGTTTTTTGTCAATCTAAAAGATGAACATGGAATTCTCGATTTTTAATAATTTATAACAATGTTCTTTTTTTGTTTTTTTTTTTTTACTAGGTGTCAAGATCAAGAATTATTAAACAGGTTATAGTTAAAAGGGCTCATTTAATATGGGTATTAAGGTGAGATTATTTTTGAAAATGTAGAAATGTTTTGAGACGATGAGGCATAGGTGGGATTATTGGTTTTAACCATAATATTAAGCTTGAAAAATCTCGAGTGTTACAATAATAGATTGAAAATTTGTTAGAAAAGTCTCCATATAAATTCTAACAACATATAAGATATAACTTATCATTATCATCAATTCATGGTTAATTTTATGCACTAAAGATTGGTACAATTATTTAGGAGAAAATTGTGAAAAAGGACCTTTTAAGTGGTCGACTTTTTGAAAAAGGACCTTTTAAGTGAAAACTTGTGAAAAATGACCTTTTAAGTTGCATTTTGTTAATATGGGGTACTTGGGTGGCCGTCCAAAAGAAAGAAGGAAAAAAGAGAAAAGAAGTCTGGGTGGCCGATGGCCAGCTGCAGAAGTCCAAGAAGGTCAAGACGTACGAGCCCCAGTATGAGTTCAACAAGGACTGTTATTCTATCTTGATGGAAATCAAGGATAAGTTTGAGTTTGAAAAGCCACAGCCGCTGCGAGGCCCGGCTCAATACAGGAACAAGAACAAATACTGTCATTACCACAAGGACGTGGGACATGACACGAACGATTGTATCAATTTGAAGAGACTGCTGGACAAGCTAGCCGAGAAGGGCATGCTGACTTCTTATGTGATGAAGTCCAAATTCACTTACACACGGACCAACAACACGTCCGAGAATAGACAGAAAAATGATAAGAACAAAGACAAGGAAGATGATGGGAATAGCACTGATTCAGGCTTTGTGGCCGTTATATCAGGAGGATCCGCCTCAGGCGGCCCAACCATGAAAGGGATCAAGCAGGACTCTTGGAACTTGGGATAGGTGATGCAAGCGGATACAGTAAAGGCCGAACCCTTTCCCGAAGTAATCATCAGTGAGGCCGACCGGGGGGGGAGGTCAAAGCCCTGCACAATGATCCCATGGTATTCATTATGAAGATAGCCAATTTGAAGGTCGGACAAATATTGATTGATACGGGTAGCTCGGCTGACATCATCAGCCTGGCCGCCTTGAAGAATCTAAGCTTCCCAGAGGATGCTCTTCAGGACATCACTCACCCGTTGGTATGATTTGGAGGGAATGTTATCCACCCGACTGGACAGATAGACCTACCCGTCCGCTTTGGGCAAAAAGGGGAAGGAAGAGATATGGTTGTCCGTTTCTTGGTCGTGAAAGAGCTAACTGGATATAATGTCATACTCGGCCGTCCTACACTGAACGCAGCCAAAGCAGTCATTGTACCTCACCTAATGCTTCTAAAGTTCAAGAGGATGGACGGTAAAATTGGGACAATCCAAGGGAGTCAGAAGATGGCTAAGGAATGTAATCAGTTGGCCGTTAAGCCTACAGCACGCGGACCAAAAGCGTCCGGTCCAAAAGAAGAAGGAACCTCACTCTCAGCATGCCAGGTCGGCCAGAAGCGTAAGGCGGCCAAGATAGAGCAAGCATAGCAGCTAATGACTGTCGGTCGGCCAGAAGAGTTACGTCCCTAACCGGCCGGCAGTCACCAAGATATAGTGCTTAACCCCGATCAACCAGATCGGACGGTTAGTGTGGGCACTATAGCTTTGGGTATGCTTGGGTATGAGTTAATTCAACTGCTAAGATTGTTCAAGGATGTATTTTCATTTGACGCTGGTGAGATGCCAGGAATAAGCCCTGACCTGGCCGTGCATAAGTTGGCTGTAAACCCAGCCGTTAAGCCTGTCCGCCAGAAGAAAAGAAATCATGGAGAAGAGAGGAATCAGGTGGCCGCAGCTGAGGTAAAAAAGCTGCTAGACGCCGGTTTCATTTGGCAATGTTATTACCTAGACTGGGTAGCTAATGTAGTTCTCATGAAGAAGCCAAATGGAACTTGGAGAATGTGTGTGGATTACACCGATCTGAACAAGGCATGCCCTAAGGATAGCTTTCCCTTGCCCAAAATCGACCGCCTGGTTGATTCAACGGTCGGGCATGCCCTGATGAGTTTTATGGACGCATACTCCGGATTCCATCAAATTCCCTTATGGGAAAAAGATCAAGAGAAAACAGCGTTCGTAACTAAGCAAGGGTTGTACTGTTACAAGGTTATGCCATTCGGCCTCAAGAATGCTCCAGCTACCTTTCAACAACTAGTTAATAAAGTCTTCACAGATCAGCTCGGCTGGAATATGGAGGCGTACATTGATGACATGATTGTCAAGTCAAAAGAGCCGCCCGACCACTTAAAGGATCTGCGAGAAACTTTTACCGAACTCAGGCGGCATAAGATGAGGTTAAATCTAAAGAAATGTGTCTTTGGTGTTGAGTTAGGTAAATTTCTCGGATTTTTGATTGATCAACGTGGAATTGAGGCCAACCCTGAAAAAATTCAAGCTGTCATGGACATGAAGTCACCAAGGACGATCAAGGAAGTAAAAAGATTGACCGGTTGTTTAGCAGCACTTGGTAGATTTCTGTCAAGGTCAGGGGATAAGTGCCGTTATTTCTTTCAAACCATCAAAAAGAAAGCCATGTTTGAGTGGACAGAAGAGGCCAAGGAAGCCTTCGTACAGCTAAAAAGCCACCTTCATACATTGCCTCGACTCGTCAGTCCACTCAAGAATAAGAAGCTATTTATCTATCTCGCCATCTCTGAACACTCTCTAAGTGCCGTCTTGCTTGTTGAACGGGACGGCCACCAGATCCCAGTCTATTTTATTAGTCATGTACTTCACAACGCCGAGCTGAGGTACCCCCCTATTGAAAAATTTAGCTTGGCATTGTACATGGCATCGAAAAAGCTGCGGCCGTACTTCTTGGCACATTCAATTGTTCTACACAGACTAACCTCTGAAGAAGCCATTTACAACTTTAGAGGCAAGTGGTCGTATGCTCAAGTGGGCCTTGGAAATGAGAGGCTTTGAAATTGCGTTTGAGCCAAGAAAATCAATCAAGGGACAAGCCTTAGCTGATTTTTTAGCTGAGATGACTCGGCCTGATCTTCAACCGGCCGGAGACCAGGTCTGGAAGGTGTTCGTGGACGGTAGTGCAACAACTACCGGGTGTGGTGCAGGTGTCATATGTCTCCCGAGGGAAATAAGCTTGAGTATGCTCTGAGATTTCAGTTTCAAGCCTCTAATAATGAGGCCGAGTATGAAGCCCTTCTGGCTGGCCTTAGAATGTGTAAGGCGGCAGGAGCAAAAAAAGTGGATGTAAGCTCGGACTCCCTACTTGTACTCGACCAGGTGAACGGAGACTTCGAGGCAAGGGAGTCGGCTATGATGAAATACCTGAAGATTGTTAAGGACGAGGCTAAGGGCCTTGATCATTTTACTCTGCAACAAGTTCCTCGTTCGTCTAATCATCAGGCGGACGCCCTTTCTAAATTAGCATCCTCAGCATCATGTGATACCCCCAAGTCAGTATTTTGGGAGGTAAAGGAAAGAAGAAGTATTGATGCCGAGCCGATACATATCATTGATAGAAGTTCCACTTGGATGGACGGGATCTTTTCTTCTCTTAAGGATGGATTACTTCCGGCCGATCCTAAAGAGAGCTGGCTGATGAAGAAGAGAGCGGCTTGGTTCGAAATGAAGTAGGGGGAGTTGTTTAAAAAGGCATTTGTGAAGCCGTACCTGAAGTGTATTACTCCTGAGAAAGGGCATGATGTCCTGGACGACCTTCACCAGGGACAGTGCAGCTCTCATATTGGAGGACGAGCCTTGGCTGAAAAGGCTGCCCATCTGGGCTACTACTGGCCGAGCTTAAAGTCGGACGCCATGAAGATGGTGAAAAAATGTGACAAGTGCCAGAGATTTGCAACCTTGATCCATCACCCTGCTAACAGTTTGTCGGCCATAAGCAGTCCGCTCCCCTTTGCCAAATGGGGGATGGATATTTTAGGACCGTACACGCCTCTGGTCAAAGGCGTTATTTGTTTGTAGCAGTAGACTACTTCACAAAGTGGGTGGAGGCCGAGGCTGTGCGGGGCATCAAGTGGACGGATGTTTCAGCCTTTATATGGAAGAGTATCATTACACGTTTTGGCGTTTCTCAGTCTATGGTGTTCGACAATGGTCCCCAGTTTGAAACGCCTCAACTCAAGGAATGGTTGGAAGACCAGGGCATAGCTCATTGCTTTGCTTCGGTTGGCCGACCACAACCCAATGGCCATGTAGAAGCATACAACAAGTTGATCTCCAATGGTGTCAAGCGGAAGCTTGAAAAGGCAGGCGGTCTATGGGCTGATGAGTTGGTCAATGTATTATGGTCCATACGAACAACGACCGAGGCTGTCCTCCCAATTGAGATGTATGAGCCCACTCTTAGAGTGACGCTATATGATGAAGCGGCTAATTGGGAAGCCATGAAGACTGCCCTAGACTTCCTTCCTGAAGCTAGGGGCAATGCGGCGCTTAGACACAAAATTTATCATCTAAGGATGACAAGGGCATACAATCGCCGAGTGTCAAAGCGTCCGCTTAAAATGGGAGATCTGGTCCTATTGAAAATGGAGTCTGTGGGTCGGGCAAATGAAGATGGAAAGCTGACCCCGAACTGGGAAGGGCCGTATCGAATCAGGGAAGAAGTCCGAGACCGAACTTACCGTCTCGAAGCCATGAACAGCCGACATATTCTGCGTACATGGAACACTGACAATTTGAAGAAATATTATGTTTAAGTTTTTTCTTAGTACTTAGACAAAAAGCTATATATACAGCTAGGTCTGTTGACCGAGC